GCCGCCGAGCGCCCGCCCCTCAGCCCGGGCAGGGGCTGCTCAGGCCGCAGAACCCAGGCCTCACAGTCCCCGCCCGCCCTGCCTCCTCCTGCTGCGCCTGCGCGCCAGGCCCCGGCTCGGCCGCCATCTTGTACCTCCACCGGGACGTTTATTTGCTTTGAAAACCAAAAAAAGTGGAGTTTGGATAAAGGCCAGCAGTACTGCTGGGTCCTGATGTTGTTTGTTTCAGTGATAACCTTACTCATCAGACACACGTACCCCTTTTGGCTCCCTTAACGTTATATTGTGTTCTAGGGAGCAGCTCCTATATTAGCAGGAAAAACAGAATTTCTCTGGAAAACCAACCTTTCACCTGCTCCTAGCTTTGTCATTAAGGCATTGCCCTAGGGAACTAAAGGGCTTCTTTGGGCTAAGGCAGACAGTCACCCCATGTCTCCTCCTGATGACCATGCACACGAGTGCCACGCCAGACACCAGTTGTATTTGATTTTAGCAAGATCTCTCAGCTCTTGGTTCTTCATTTTTCATGAGCTGCTTCCCTTACAATAATAAGAAACTGGGGCTTAATAATGAAAACCAACAGTTTTACTGGACATGAGGGCTGAAAAACTGCATCTTGTAGAAAAACGGGAGTGTCTTCCAAAATTTTAGAGTATGGGTGTTCTGTGCATAGGCTGGGAAGAGCAAAAATAGTATAGGAAAGCAAAGTCTAGCAAAATGCATTCAGCTATATACTGAGAGGTCAGTAGTCTCTGCAGGATGATGGATAGGGAGATTCTTGAACAGGAAGGGGCCAAAACAGGGAATCTCCCTGCTTAAGGGCAGACTGCTGGGCAATGTTTGCTCCAAACAAATGTAGGGCTACAGCTCAGCTCCATCACCACCCACACTCTGCCTCTCAGGACCGAGCAGGACTGTGGTGCAATTCCAGCTTGGAAAGCCCTCCCTCAATTGCCTGACCACCTTATCCACAACCATATGCTGGAAGATCCCTCTCAGCTCAAAACACTTGAGTTAGAGCTCTGTACAGCATGAAACCCTCACCTTATTCCTCTAGACTGAGTAGGACCCCAGGGAAATTCCAGTGGAGTCATCTCAAGCTAGAGAAATACAAAGTATATTTGGTCAGAGTGGAGTGGCAGTTCAACATACTTACTGGCATGGGACTCCTTAGGCTCAGCTGTGGGAGAGTGGGGGGCTTGGTTTGGTGTGGGGACAGGAGAAATGAGAGTCTCCAGAGCTGTAATCCCACTGCAGTTCTCCTCATTCTTGAGAGCTAGGAAGATGCTATTCTGTGGAAGGAGTTAAAGTTCAGTGCATGTTTGGAGATATGAGTGGAGTCCCAAACTCTCCTGTGTGTTAGGGCCAGGGTTAATGTTAGATCTAGGGAAGTGAGCACCTTCAGAGCTGGAAATCCCTGCTCCTTTCTGTCCTGACTACTGGCTAGTCTTCCTGGATGGACCCTAGACCTGAACTGTCAGTAATCTCATCTCCAGTCTTGTTTCTGGCTCTGTCTCTTGGGTGGACCTCAGGCTCACATTATAGATAGCCTTTTTTCCTGGATCGACCTTGCACTCAATTGGGATGTGATATTCCCACCCTGCTTCAGGTCCCCCACGTCACAGCTCTGTGCCAGCTCTGTAACTGCCCTGGGTGTGTGTCATGGTCTACCTCCAACTTGTTCATGCCATGTCCCTGCCCTGACTTTGTGACCTTGTCATGGTCTTCTGTGTCTGTCTTAGGTCCATGTTTTCCTGCCAGCTTATGACATGTCCTTGCTCTGCCTCACTCGGAAGTAGCCCTGTAATGACTCTTCTCTGGCCTGAGCCCACAACAGCAAGTAGCAAGAAGAATATTTCACAAAGGGTACGCCTCTGAAGCCAGATCTTTGCAAGGTGAGAGGATACACCTTGATGGGAGAAGAAGCTGCTGTCAGGGCCCTGAGTGCACTAGTAGCCCTATAATTACTCTGGACAGCCTTAGCTGTGGCCTCCACCCACACACCCTCTAGCCACGTACCCATGGCCTCCATGTAAACTTAGTCCTGGACATCCAGACATGACCTGAGCTGTGCTGTAGGTGTGCATGTCCATTCCTGTTTCCTGTTGTCCTGACACACAGGCTGGTCTTCCTGCACAGACTGTGAACCTGTGCTGCGGGTAGCCTCATCTTCAGTCCTGCCTCCTTGGTGGACCTTGGACATGTATTATAGGTAGTCCTGGTCTCGGCTCTACCTTGCAGTGTCTGGGGTTGTTGCTGGATCCCTCCACTACTACATACCTTTTCCCATTCAGAAAATTCAGGATGGCACCATGGTCACTGAGGTCGCTGCCCTTGCCTGCACCATGGTCACCTCTGCTCCTGGCTCATCCTCCCTTGCAAAACAGCCCTATTCCTGCTGCTCCCTGGCACCCCTAGAGCTAGCATAAATGACAAAAGTTTTTATCTGACTTCAGATAAACATGTATTTGAGGTGTGGAAGCGGATTCACTGCTCTGCTCGTGGTAGCATCAGAGTTAGGGTGCCAGGGCACAGCGAGGGCTAGCTGCTCCTCAGAGTGAGCTGAGAATGATAACAGGGCAAGGGGAGGCAGGCACCTCACCAGTCTGGCCCAGTCCCACCCCCCGAGCAAGGTGAGCAGGACAGTTCTGATGAGAGCAATGAGGTTCCACCAAGAGTCTGATCACTAGGCAAGTCCATTGTGATGGGGCAGATCCAAGGTCAAGCTGGGATGACAGATGCCTGGGTCGGGGTCTGCATCAGTGGGGTACAGGGTCCAGGTGTGGCTGCAGTATATTTTAGGTGGGAGGCAAGAGCCTCAGCTTTAAAGCAGCTCCACAAGAAAGGAGCAGGGAGCCCCCGCTGAGGTGTCCCAGCAGAGCAGAAGCAGTTTCTGGCTTTCCTCACAACAGTTCTTGTCAGATCTTGAGCAACCAGCTACACACCCTGAAGAGAGAATACACTGTCCCCTTCAGGCTTCAACATGTTGAATTAGGACTCTGTTCTGAACCCCAACCCTTTTACTGCTGCTCAGGATTTGAGAAAGATGTTTTCTCCAGTGAAAATTCTGCTCTGAAGGGCCTTAATTGCCTAACAACAGATTCTCAGATTATTTTAAATTTGACTTGGATAGCTCTTTGTATTTCACAGACTGCATCCAGATGACTCATCAGTTCACTTATCCCTACCTTGCAGCAGATCCCAGAGAGTCTGCCTCAGCTTGAAACTCATGATGATCTTCACCTGCATCCTTATCCCAGCCCTCACCTTATCTCTCAGGCTTCAGCAAAGCCCCTGTGGAATTCCAGCTTGGAAAGAAATAATTTCCCTCACTTGCCCCCTAAGCTCAGTCAAAGCAGGGCCTGCCCTGCAGTCCCAAATGCCCACTGAACTGCACATCTGTCCTGAGCATCGCCCTCATTTGAGCTCTCAGGGTTGAGGAGGGCCTGAGGAGAACCCTTAGCCCTACCTTACACAGTCACAAAGCCCAGCCATTCTCCTTTCATGTAGAAGAAGACATGGCTTTCTCCCACCCCAACTCACAGTTGAGGTTGCATCTCGGGCTATGTAGCAGAGTGTAGTACAGAGGAGTCTTGCATCCTTTTCTCAAGATGTCTTTCACACCCATCAAAGGCAGGGAGGGTGGACCTTAGTTTGATGAACTGTCTTTCGCGCTGGCTTCAATATGACTTCAGGTGATGTTTGTATTTCTCGGTGTGCATCCAGCTAACGTGCCAGTGTGAATATAAAGAAAAACCTGTGAGCAGTAAAACTGCTAGCTGTGTAGCTTTGTCTGCTGTGATCCATATATAAAACCGTAACTTTCTTAATGGCATATTGCCAGCATGGAGGCTGGCTGATGTGCAGCTGAGGGTGTCAGCACTATCCAGAGAAGCTAATTTTCCTGAGATAGGAGCTGTTACTTAAGGTTCAACAGCCTCTTTGCTGTGACTGTTACTGTGTGATGAATCATGTAGATGTTCAAAACCAAACTGGCTGTTCAAAACCACACGTTTTGGCTGCAGCAGCAGGGTTTGTTTTCCCCTTTCTCTCTGTTTCTCCTACCATGTTGTTCTCAAGGGCAGAAACAGATAAAATACTTCTTTATAATGGAAAATCAGTAAGATTCTTCTTCATTGTTTCAGCAAATTGTTTGTTATTCACTAATCCAAAGAAAATAATCTGGGAAATTAGAAAAATTTTGGAAGCCAGTCAACTCCAGAAGTTGATCTGTCTAGCCAGTCTCAGTCTTTCCTCAAAGCCTGCTAGTGGACAAAGATGCACATCAGCTCTGTGGATTTATAAAGGGTGCTCTGACATGCTTCTGGATACTAAACTAGACTGCTGCTGACTCAGAAATTGCTGGCATGTGAGATTTTTAGCTGAAATATATTTATTCACAAATTTATTAGTCATTTATTTTCTAGGTTAAAATGTGGTTCAGAACTGTACGAGAAGAAAAACATACTATGCTGCAAAAGTTTCCTATGGGATGCAGTGAAGTGAGATAAAAAAATCCCACTAAAATGAAAATTAAACATGAAAATCAATAGCTTTTCCATCTTAGACATTTGACCCAACACCTGCAGCAACCACAGCAGTGCCTGAATAGAGATTTAATAGTCCAAACTGCAAACATATGTGGAGCCAGGACTAAGAACCAGTTCATACTGTATTTCTAGTTTGGCTAACAAGCAGTTACGACAACTTCATTATGTCATTTCACTTCCCTGCATCCCAGTTTCATAGAAGGGATAAATTATGCTTCCCTTATTTCATAAAGCACTTCCAGAGTTACACATCAAAATCTCTAAAACTAGGAATTACGGCTGTATTCCACACAAACACATATGTTTTTGAACAGATAAAAAAGCTGCCATTTTGTGCTACACTCAAGCTAGGAAACACACATGAGTAATAGCACACTTTTTTATAAACAACAAAACCAGAGCTTTATTTTAAAGCAGACACAAATAACACACATGAGATTAAAATGAAACATGGAAATATAAGTATGGATAGATTATGTATACATGCATGAAATTAATGTATGGTGCTGAACAGCATGGATTTTAAAGATAACCAGTATAGAACCAGCCAACAATGAAGTGAGATTCAGGAAAGTTGCTGAAATTAAAGATTTTAATAGCTGTGTCATTTTATGGTTTTCTGAACACCTTTAGTACTTCCAGCATTACTGAAACTGATACTCAGCAGCTATCCTGCATTTTTATGTAGGATGCAGGGTGTTCCTCTTCCTATTTTGTTAGACTGTAGTCTAGCATAGTGTTGACTAGAGTACTAATTGTTTTTTAGGGGCTAATGTGCATCAAGCAGGGATATTTCTCTGGCTCCTGATGGTCAAAAGTCCGCAGCACAGTTATTATTTACCCAGTGAATAGTACACACCAGCGCTTTCACTGCTGATGCCAACTACCAAACTTAGCGTCCTGGGCTCTGACACCAGCATAGCTAGTTTTGAACTCTACCGAGCTGGAAAAAGCAGTGTTTACTGTAGGGATGCTGCTGGCAAAGCTGTCCTGTTTCTCTTAGCCAGAGTTCACCTTAAAAGATAGTTCTCACTGTCATTGTAAAAACAAGAGAATAAACTGTTACGTAATCCCCGTAATGTAAGTTGTTAACAACCTGAATAAGTGTTCTGAAATGGGTGATGGGTATATGAATTTAGCTTGAAGCTCTGAGAGGCTTAAGACAAGACTTTTGGGCAGTGAGAAGAGGTTCAGGGCCACGTGGTTTTTCAGGGCCACCAAAAGCCTTTCTGCCGTTTGGCGAGGGCAGCCCTCACGGTGCGAGGTCCAGGCCCAGAGGTCATGCCTCTCGGTGGGTTCCGGTTGTAAGGATGTGTGTTTCAAATACTTCTGCTAAATTACAGGAGCACATTCTGGGTCTCCAGAAAAATGAAATCGTAGTGCAGTCAAGTGACGTTTTTCAGGGATGATTCCTCACACTGCTGGTTTCCCTCAGGAGGAAAAAAAAAAAATCCAAAAGAAAACCCAACCTGCGTTTGATCAGGACCCCGTGTAGCACTGCGCTGCCCTGCCGGGCCCTCCGCGG